GGCTGAGGCAGGAGGATCTTTGTGAGTTTGAGACCAGCCTGGGCTACAAAGTGAGCTCAAGGCCACCCTGAACTGCATAGTGAGACCCTGTCTCAAAAAGACAAAAGGAGGAAAAAAGGCATAACAGGACTGGGGATATAGCTCAGCGGCACAGTGTCTGCCTGGGAAACGCAAGGTCCTGAGTCCTGGTACCAAAAGGGGGAGCGCATAACAGTCCTAAATATGTAGCCAAATGATAAAAGAAATTAAAAATACATGAAATGGGACAGAATTAAGAGAATAAATAAATACATAGTACAGTTGAAGATAGAGCCCTTTTTCTCATTAAGTGATATCAGTAGACCTAAAGTAAGTGAGAGTATAGAAGTCTTGAGCATCTTGGCATGGTGGCACACAGCTGTAATCCCAGTACTTGGGAGGCTGAGGCAGGAGAATTGCTGTGAGTTTGAGGTCAGCCTGGGCTACATAGTGAGTTTAAGGCCAGCCTAAACTACATAGTGAGACCTTGTTTCAAAAAACTTGAACAGTTACCAAAAAAAAAAAAAAAAGAATTGAGCAGAGTTACCAAGTATTTAACTGACCCCCAAACAATAATAGAAAAAGATTGTTTTCCAGTATGTATAGTGCATTCACCAAGATGGACCATGCAGGCTGTTAGCAAACTAAACCTGTAGGTCAAATACAGACTACTGCCTAGTTTTGTTTTGTGCAGTTTGGGAACTACGAATGGATGTTATGTTTTTAAACCATTTGTTAAAAAGAAGGAAAAATATACAATAGAGACCATATGTGGCCGCAGAGCTGAAAATATTTACTGCTAAGATTTTTATAGAAAAAGTTTGTTGACTCCTTTGGTAGGCTTTATTTTATTTTATTTTATTTTAGTTTTTTTTTCCGTTACCGGGAATCGAACTCATGACCTTGCGCTTGCCAGGCAGGCGCTGTGCCACTGAGCTAAATCCCCAGCCCCTCCTTTGGTAGGCTTTAAAACAAATTTTTATCATTTGTTTTGAGGTCATGTATCATTTTTGTTTTTGTGTTGTTTTGATTTTTGTCTTCATTGTTGTTTTGTTTTGTTAATTTTTAAAATAAAAATATTTATAACAAAAGACAAATTTTTATTTCTTGTGATATTGGGAATTAGGCAGTGCTCTGTCACTGAGCTACATTTCTAGCCTTGTAAAACAAATCTTGGAGGCTGGGGATTTAGCTCAGTGGCACAAGTGCTTGCCTGGCAAGCTCAAGGTCCTGAGTTTGATCCCTGGTACCGCAAAAAAAAAAAAAAAAAAAAAAAAAAGAAATCTTGGGCCAGGGATATAGCGCAGTGGGGCAGTGCCTGCCTGGCAAGCACAAGGTCCTGAGTTTGATTCCCGGTACTGAAAAACCATAAAGCAAATCTTTCTAAAATTTAAAAAAAATTTTTGTCTTTTTGAATCAGGGTCTTGCTATGCAGTTCAGGCTGGCCTTGAGCTCACTTTGTAGCCCAGCTGGTCTTGATCTGGCAGCGATCCTCCTGCCTTAGCCTCCCGAGTGCTGGGATTATAGGTGTGCACCACCATGCCTGGTTCCCAGTTTCTCTTTCCTTTTGAACAATTTCTTCGCATTTCACAATATCTATTGTACATTTTTTTTGTCTTTTTGAGATAGGGTCTCGCTATGCTGTTTAGGCTGGTTTTGAGCTCACTTTGTAGCCCAGGCTAGTCTTGAACTTGCAACAATCCTCCTGCCTCAGTCTCCCGAGTGTTGGGATTATAGGTATGTGCCACAATGCCCGGCTTTCTATTGTACATTTTGAGTCTTACTTACTTTTTCAGCTTCTCACCCTAGGGAAACAATATGATGTTTGCACATGTGGGTCTGATTTATTTCACTAGTGAGTATGGACTCAAGTTGCATCCATTTACCTATAAATGTCTGAAGTTTATCCTTCTTTGTGGCTGACTAGTACTCAATTGTATAAAAAGATCAATCTTTTTTATCCAAACCTTGACTGATGGGCATTTGGGTTGTTTCCAAGATTTAGCTATTACAAATTGTGCTGCTATAAACATGGGTGTACATATATCACTGTGGTACAGTGTTTTTAATTCTTTTGAGAAGATACCCAGAAGGGAAATAGCTGGGTTGAATGAAATCTCTAATCCTAGTTTTTTGAGGAATCTCCACATTGATTTCTTTCTTTCTTTTTTTCTTTCTTTCTTTCTTTTTTTTTTTTTTTCTTTTTGGCTTTTTGAGACAGAGTCTTGCTATGCAATTCAGGCTGGCCTTGAGCTCACTTTGTAGCGCAGACTGGCCACACTGATTTCCATAGTGGTTCCACACTCCCACCAATGGTGGAAAAGAATTCCTTTTCCCTCACAGCCCCTCTAGCATGTGTTATTAGTTGATTTCTTGATAATAGCCATTCCTTCTTGGGTTAGATGAAATTTCAGTGTTGTTTTAATTTGCATCTCTTGAATGACCAGTGATGTTGAACATTTTTTTCATATATTTATTTGCTGTTTATATTTATTCATCTGAGAAGTGTATATTCATCTCAGATGCCCATTTTTGGATTGGGTCTTTAAATTTGGGAGGTCTGATTTTTTTTTTTTTTTTTGAGTTCTTTATATGCTCTCAATAGTAATCCTTTGTCTGAGGAACAGCTGGCAAATGTTTTCTCTTACATTGTGTGTTGTCTCTTCACTCTGTTGGTAGTTTCTGTTGCTGTGCCCTTTTTTTTTTTTTGTAAGATAAAGTTTTTCTAAATGCCTAAGTTGCCCATGCTGGGCTTGAATTTGGGTGCCTTGTCTCAGCCTGCCAGAGTACTGGGGTTACAGGCATGTACCACCACTCTCAGCACAAGCATGCTCTTTGACCACAACAAAATAAGAAACAATAATAAAAAATAGTTCAGAAATACCAAAATAATTGGAAAGTTAAGCATTGTGCTTCTAATCACCTATAAAGTCAAATAGAAATCACAAGAGAAATTAGAAATGTCTTTTTTTTTTTTTAGAAATGTCTTGAATTCAATGAAAATGAAAGAATACTAAGGTCTGTAAGATGCAGTTGGAGAATATGTACCACTGAGTGTTGATAATTTAGAAGAAAGTTCTAAAACCAGTGATCTAAAAGTCTACTATAAGAAGCCAGAATAAGCAGATTGATACAGTAGAAAAGAGGTTACAAACACTAAAAAGAAATGAGGCAATAGAAAATTAACAAATAAGCCAGGCATGGTAGCATATATCTCTAATCCCAGCAGTCTAGGAAGCTAAGGCAGGAGGATCTCAAATTCAAGCTCAACCTGAGCAGTTTAGTGACTTGATGAGGCCCTGTCACAAAATTTAAAAAGGGAGGGGCTGGGGATATAGCTCAGTGCAAAGGCCCTGGGTTCAGTCCCCAATACCAAAAAGAAAAAAAGGAAAATTAACAAGTAATAGAAGAAAATGTCAAAAGCCGTTTTTAAAAACAAGGTATTACTAATGTGTGGAAACAAAAGAGGGAACATTATTATAGACCTTACTCAATTTTTTTGTGTGTCTTTTTTTGAGACAGGGTCTCGCTATGCAGTTCAGGCTGGCCTTGAGCTCACTTTGTAGCCCAGGCTGGTCTTGAACTCGCAACGATCCTCCTGCCTCAGCCTCCTGAGTGCTGGGATTACAGGTTGTGCCACCATGCCCGGCTGACCCTACTCAATTTTAAAAGAATAGCAATATATGAGTAGCTCTGTGCTAAATAACCAGTTTAGATGGTATAGTCAAATTGAGTCAGCAGTACTAAAAAACAGAAACAAGAAGTAGAAGATAAAAGTTGGTTCAACATATTAAAGAATAGAATTCGTTTGAAAAGTCACTATAGACAGCTTTAGGTCCACCTGGTTTCACTGGTGAACTCTGTCAAACACCAGGATAAATCGCATCATCGTGTACTGCATGTGTTTATGTGCATGTACAGCGTTCATCTCAGCAGTAAGCACGGCTGCAGGGCCAGAAGGGCCAAGTCCTTGCTCAGTCTGCTGGGGAGAGTGTTTTTGGAAGAGTAAAGGGAGGAGAGTGCAGTCTGTGTGAGAAAGGTTCTGTGTCCTTGTGGTGAGGCAATTCCTGGAGACTACAGAAGTACCCCAGCCTGATGTGTAGTTAGGCTGGAGTCAGTGGCAGTTTTGAAGCTGAAATCTGAGGATTTCAGCTTACCATGAAGACATGGTATTTCAGAAGCTGTGGGGTTGAGGCTAAATGCAGAGGCTCCTGTATCATGGGCATATAGGGCAGCACAGCCTTCACAGACAACTGGTCATTTGCAACTGTGGGCAGTCTTACCTTTTTAAATGTAAATTTTAAGATAATTACTACCTATTACTATTTCCCCCCTAGTTCTGGGGATTGAACCCAGGGCCTTTGCACACCACCCATTCCCAACCTCCTTTTTTTTATTTTGAGCCAGGGTCACTAAATCACTAAGTTGTCCAGCCTAGGTTCAAACTTGCAGTCCTCCTACTTCAGCTTCCCAAAGTGCTGGGATGTAACATTGAAAGGATTAATAATTTCAAAATAAACTTTTTAACTTTGTTAAAGATTCAGGCTTCATGTTTTCTTTTTGTAGTAGAACAGTGTAAACTTGCACTGGCCCACAGACTTACTGTGAGACTCACTGGCAGGACAAATTTGTTCAGGCAGCAAGAGCCAGGAAGGGAACTGTGGAGGCAGAGGCAGAGTAAAAGTGAGCTCGGTGGCAGTCTTCAGGTTGGGGTGTCAAAACCGCATGCTCAGATGGTGTGTGAGGAAGGTAGCAGTTTCGTGGGTGACCATGGTGTTGTGCAGCTAGATGGGAATAGTGAACAGAAAGGCGTAAGGGCAGGTGGCAGCATAGGAGGGCAAGATCACACAAAGTGAGCTGTTTTGAATTTGACTTGCTGAGGTTGAGCTGTGTAAGATTTTAAGGAGAATGTGAGCGGTGTTCACTCAGGAGAGGCTGGTACTAGGAAGTGGGCTCATGTTATGAGTTTTTAATGTTCTCAGGATGGAGCGGTTTCCCTGGCGCTGACACATGGGAGACCTCAGGATGTGTTGGCCTCAGGGAGCCAAGGAGCAAGCGAGAGGACCCAGAGGCACGTTGAGTACTGCAGGTAGGGCTGGAACAGATAGCAAGGAAGGTGAGTTAGCCAGGAGGACCCTGGAGGGGCAGGTCCCGAAACTGGGGGTGTCTGCTGCAGAGAAGAGCAGTTACTGAGGAAAGCCCAATCCCCAATCCTGAGCCCCAGGAATTATGTGTGTTCATGTCCGAATGGACTTCTTGCATTTTGATATAGTTCAGCTGAGGGCACAGTCGTAGAGTGAGGAGGAGTGAGTGATCTTTTCCCTTTGCTTATAGCTCTGTGGCCATCACGATGTTCTGGAAGTTTGACTTGAATACCACATCCCATATTGACAAGCTGCTGGACAAAGAGCATGTGACACTGCAGGAGTTAATGGATGAAGATGACATCCTGCAAGAATGTAAGGCTCAGAACCGGAAGCTGCTGGACTTTCTGTGCAGGCCACAGTGTATGGAGGAACTGGTGAACCTCATCACACAGGACCCACCCTTGGACATGGAAGAGAAGGTCCGCTTCAAGTATGTACTGAGACCATAACCGGACCTAGTGCTGGGCAGTGCTCAGGGAGGACATGGGCAGTGTCTGAGGACAGCCAGAGCCATGACTCTTGATGGAGATGGAGACCTTAAACACCTACCCCATCTGAGAAATGAGGAAGTCACTGTGGGTTTTGTCATTTGTGAGATTTAAGAGTTCACAATCTCTGGTTGTGTGTGTTTTCTCATTCTGAGTTATATGTAAAAGGCGAAAGATTTATACGATCTGAAGAGAAACCAGAGTATATCATTCTGAGTTACACGTAAGTTTAAACTAAGTTGGTGTGGTCAGAGCATTTTGAGCGACAGTATACTAAAAGAAAAGGACTGATCCTGTGATAGAGAGGCACATAGAATTGCTTCAGAGTTGGCCCTAGCCTAGCAGAAAGGCCAGACTGGAGAGACATGCAGTACAGGTGTTTGATCACTGAACTCTAGGAAATGCTTCACTGAACACTCCAACTTGAAGGAAGTATGTTGTTGTCATTAGTGATACTGACCATTCTGAGAGTTTTTCATAAAATTCTCCATTCAGCATTTGGCCAGGGTGTTAGAAGATGACAGAAAGGGAAGGGGCAGTGTGGCAAGATGGTTGGAGCTTTGAGTGAGGACGGGCGTGAACTGGGATAACACTGGCAGGCAGACCCAGCCTCCAGGTTTTGTGGATGTGGCTCCACGAAGAGACCACATGGCCCACTGTCTCCCCAAGGAGAGCTGGGGTTGAGTGGCAGTTGCTTTCAGGTCCAGGTGCTTATAAGGAAGTGTAAAATACATGCATGTGGTGGTAAAATCTTTTTTTTTTTTTTCTTTTTTGAGACAGGGTCTCACTATGCAGTTCAGGCTGGCCTTGAGCTCACTTTGTAGCCCAGGCTGGTCTCCAACTTACAATGATCCTCCTGTCTTAGTCTCCCTAGTGCTGGGATTACAGGTGTGTGCCACCAAGCCCGGCCTTATTTTTAATTTTTAAGAGTGCTTTCTTATTCTCAGATTTTTTTGTTTTTCATTTTTGAATCAGAGTTGCACTATGTTGCTCAGGCTGGTCTTGAACTCCTGGGATCCAGTGATCCTCTTGCCTCAGTCTCTTGAGTGTTGGGGCTACAGGCACATATCACCTTACCTGTTTCTATGGTTGTGTGTGCATGTGTGTGTGTTACTGAGGGGCACTGATTACATCTTTATTATTTTATTTTGAGATTGTTCTCACTAAATTGCACAGATTTGCCTTAAACTTGCAACCCTCCTGCCTCAGCCTCTGTAGGATTACAGGTGTGTGTCATCACATCTAACCCAGATATTTGAATCAAAGCTCCCAGTTCTCATTCTGGATACTGCCTCAGTGTATCTATTGCCTCTGAGACTAGTGTGAGTTTTAAAGTTCTCTTCTGTTCTCTGGACTCTCTTCTGTGTGCCTTGTTTTGGTTAGTGCCTCATCCTTTCAAGAGTGAGGCCTTAGCCGATGTGGTGGCACAAGTCTGTAATCCCAGCACTCAGGAGGCTGAGGCAAGAGGATCACTGTGATTTTGAGGGCAGTCTGGGCTACATAGTGAGTTCAAGGCCAGCCTGGACTACAAGTGAGACCCTATCACAAAAACCAAAACAAAACAAAAGAGTGAGGCCTTAAACCCTGCACAGTATGAGGTCTGAGTGGGGTGTATTCAATCTTTACCCAAAGTGAGTGGTGCCCAGTTATTTGGTTAGATGACAGCTGGTTGACTTTTCTCTTTTTCCCATTGTTTCCTTTAGGAAAGGGACAGAGGCCCAGTAGCATCCTGGGAGAAGACTCAGAATGAATGCCTGGGGCACCTCATATTGTTCTGGAGAGCATTTTATTACTGCTGGGTTGTACTTGGTGTCCCTGAGTTATGAGCTGGGTTGGTTCAGTAGTCCCTGAACAAACCTTCCTAGCCCTGGGGAGGGTCTGCGTGTCCTGCTCTATGACAGTTTTCAGCTCACCCTCCTCTTTGCCAACCACTCTCTTGATAGCCAAACCTCACTTCTAGTTGGTGCTGCCCTCTCTAAACACCAGAGATTCTGCCTTGCTTGGGCTTGGTCAGCCAGGTTTTCCAGGCCTGGTCCAGTGTTATTTCTGCTTTGCTTTGTTTGTTCTTTCTCTCCCTCCTTACCTCCCTCCCTTTCTCTCTCCATCTCTCTCTCTTACTCTTTCTTTCTTCCTTCCTCCCTCCCTCCCTCCCTTCCTTCCTTCCTTCCTTCCTTCCTTCCTTCTTTCCTTCTTTCCTTC